TTGGCGAACCAAAGTCTATACAACTGTAACATGAGCTGCCAACTCTTGTACTCAATACCCCGTCTGATGAATGAAAGCATGCCGTATGCCTTCTTGACCACTCTATCTACCTGTGTTGCCACCTTCAGGATACAATGGACCTGAACACTCAGATCTCTCTGTGCATCAATTTTCCCCAGGGCTTTGCCATTTACCTTATAGTTCGCTCTTGAATTGGATCTTCAAGATGCATCACCTCGCATTTGCCTGGATTGAACTCCATCTGCCATTTCTCCGCCCAACTCTCCAATCTATCTATATTCTGTTGCATTCTCCAACAGTCCCATTCACTATCTGCTATTCCACCAAACTTGCTAATCAGACCATCTATACCTTCCTCCAGATCATTTATATATATCACAAACAAAAGTGGTCCCAACATGGATCCCTGTGGAACACCACTGGTCACAGTTCTCCATTTTGAGAAACTCCCTTCCACTACAACTCTCTGTCTCCTGTTGCCCAGCCAGTTCTCTATCCATCTAGCTAGCACACCCTGGACCCCATGCGACTTCACTTTCTCCATCAGCCTACCATGGGGAACCTTATCAAACACCTTACTGAAGCCCATGTATATGATATCTACAGCCCTTCCCTCATCTATCAACTTTATCACTTCCTCAAAGAATTCTATCAAGTTGGTAAGACATGACCTTCCCTGCACAAAACCATGCTGCCTATCACTAATAAGCCCATTTTCTTCCAAATGTAAATAGATCCTATCCCTCAGTATCTTCTCCAGCAGCTTCCCCACCACTGACATCAGGCTCACCGGTCTATAATTACCTGGATTATCCTTGCTACCCTTCTTAAACAAGGGGACAACATTAGCAATTCTCCAGTCCACCGGGACCTCACCCGTGCTCAAGGATGCTGCGAAGATATATGTTAAGGCCCCAGCTATTTCCTCTCTTGCTTCCCTCAGTAACCTGGGATAGATCCAATCCGGGGATCTTGTCTACCCTAATGCCTTTTAGAATACCCAATACTTCCCCCCTCCTTATGCTGACTCGACCTAGAGTAATCAAACATCTATCCCTAACCTCAACATCCGTCATGTCTCTCTCCTTGGTGAATACCGACGCAAAGTACTCATTAAGAATCTCACTCATTTTCTCTGACTCCTTGTATAACTTCCCTCCTTTGTCCTTGAGTGGGTCAACCCTTTCTCTAGTTACCCTCTTGCTCCTTATGTACAAATAAAAGGCTTTGGGATTTTCCTTAACTCTGTTTGCTAAAGATATTTCATGACCCCTTTTAGCCCTCTTAATTCCTCGTTTCAGATTGGTCCTATTTTCCAGATATTCTTCCAAAGCTTCGTCTGTTTTCAGTTGCCTAGACCTTATGTATGCTTCCTTTTTCCTCTTTGCTAGTCTCACAATTTCACCTGTCATCCACGGTTCCCTAATCTTGCCCTTTCTATCCCTCATTTTCACAGGGACATGTCTGTCCTGCACTCTAATCAACCTGTCTTTAAAAGCCTCCCACATATCAAATGTGGATTTACCATCAAACAGCTGCTCCCAATCCACATTCCCCAGCTCCTGACGAATTTTGCTATAGTTGGCCTTCCCCCAATTTAGCACTCTTCCTTTAGGACCACTCTCGTCTTTGTCTATCCGTATTCTAAAACTTACATAATTGTGATTACTATTCCCAAAGTAATCCCCTACTGAAACTTCAACCACCTGGCTGGGCTCATTCCCCAAAACCAGGTCCAGTATGGCCCCTTCCCGAGTTGGACTATTTACATACTGCTCTAGAAAACCCTCCTGGATGCTCCTTACAAATTCTGCTCCATCTAAACCCCTAACACTACTCAATGTTGGGAAAATTAAAATCTCCCATCACCACCACCCTGTTGCTCCTACATCTTTCCATAATCTGTCTACATATTTGTACCTCTATCTCACGCTCGCTGTTGGGAGGCCTGTAGTACAGCCCCAACATTGTTACTGCACCCTTCCTATTTCTGAGCTCTGCCCATATTGCCTCACTGCTCGAGTCGTCCATAGTGCCCTCCTTCAGCACAGCTGTGATATCCTCTTTCACCAGTAATGCAACTCCTCCACCCCTTTTATCTCCCTCTCTATCCCTCCTGAAGCGTCTATATCCTGTGATATTTAGTTGCCAATCTTGCCCTTTCCTCAACCAAGTCTCAGTAATAGCAATAACATCATACTCCCAGGTACTAATCCAAGCCCTAAGTTCATCTGCCTTGAGGTTCCATGCTAAGAAGTTTGAGATGATGCACTTTGGTGAGAAGAAATTAGAAAGTGTTATTAAAATAGGGTGTACATTGCTAAAGAGGGTGCAGGAGGAGAGGGACCTGTGTGTAAAGGTAGACAGCGAATTGAAATTGGTGGGACAGGTGGAGACAGCAGTTAATGAAACATACAGTATTCTCAGTTTTATTAATCACAGAATCCTTACAGTGTGAAAACAAGGCATTTGGCCCATTGAGTCCACACTGACTCTCCAAAGAGCATCCCACCCAGACCCAGCCCCCTACCTTATCTCTGTAACCCTGAATTTCTCATGGCTATTCTACTTAGCCTGCACTTCCCTGTTCACTATAGGCAATTTAGCATGGCCAATCCACCTAACCTGTACATCTTTGGAATAGGGGCACAGAGCAGGGAGGTAATGTTGAGCTTGTACAAGACACTCGTGTAGCAGCCTCCTGACTGCCAATACAAAGGTAGATTACTAACTTGGCCAAACAGCAAAGGATACTGGGTATATTGGCCAAGTAAAACTGAAGTCTCAAAACATACACACCAAACACAATGCAAACACAGCAGCCAGGTGCTAATGATATTAGTATAATGTAAACGATAACAGTTATCCTGGACAGACATGCCCAACAAATTCTCCACTAAACAAAGGAAGGCCCAGACAGAAAGGCACCAGGTCCTGCTACACAATGAAACTAACACAAGTAAGTCATCGAAACGATTGACAATGTTTCAAACTATTAAGTTTGTTTCCCTGATTGACCAGAGCTACTGAAAACCATCCAAAAAGGTATGAAAACAGGGTTGACCTGTTGACTGTAGAGCTGGATGAACACAGCAGGCCAGGCAGCTTCAAAGGAGCAGGAAAGCTGACATTTCGGATCTGAACCCTTCTTCAAAAGGTCCAAAATGTCAGCTTTCCTGCTCCTCTGATGCTGCCTGGCCTGCAGTGTTCATCCAGCTCTACACCTTGTTATCTCAGACTCCAGCATCGGCAGTTCCTACTATCTCTCTTGACCTGTTGACTGATCTCTTGGATCTTCTGGCGACCTTCCAATGACACCAGCATGACAAGAGGCAGGGACCCACTGACCGTGCAGGGAGAGAGATAGAGAGAGATTGAGAGAGAGAGAGAGAAGAGAGAAAACAGCTTTGCAGACAGAGACAGAACCAGAGAGACAGTGACTGCGTAAAGAGACTCGGGAAGTATTATAAGCTTAACGGGCCAAATAGGATTAGGGATAATATTATTTAGTATAATGGGTAATAAAACTTGTTTCCTAACAACGTTAAGACTGTTTATATTTGGACTGGCTTGTGTTCATACTGATTTGTCTGCTTCAGCATTTTAGGACATCTGGACAACTTCATTCACAGCATTCTGGTTGGAGTTGTCTATCTTGTTTTAAGGAGGCACTAGACAACATTTGTTACACTTAAGCTGCCATATTGTGTACAGTGGGCACCACATTATAGGAAAGATGTGAATGCATTTGAGAGAGTGCTGAAGCGATTTATAAGAATAGTTCCAGCAATAAGAAACTCAGTTATGAGGATAGATTGAAGAAGTTGGGACTGATTTCTATGAGTGAGTGATGTTAGCATCTCAATTTATGAGAGAGGGGGCTGCACAAGACACCCATGTGAGGTCTTTTAAAGGGGAACCACATTACACATAAAGGCAGGTCCTGTACAGGTCACAGGCCTGCACCCTCTTGAACCTTTCTGACTCTAACGGAGGTGTGATGTCATGGGGAAGTGAGTAGGCAGTGCGGAGGCCATACAAGGTTCATTGTGTGGGCAGTTGGGATGAAATGAGACTGGGTGAGGGAAATGTTGCAAACAGTAGTGAGGGTGGCAGAACATTAGTCTTGGCGGGAGGTAGGTGCAGAAGCAGAGATGGAATGAGTGTGAAGTGGCAGATGGGACTAGTGTGACACTTCCCTTGCTGGAGCAAAGAAGGTCATTGACCTTACTGAGGTGTCAATAGGCATTCCTCTAGATGGTGGAGACTGTACTGACCTAAGAACTGTACTTGGACAAGGCTGGAAGGGTGTGGTGGCATGGCGCCCTCTGCCAGTTTTCCAGGAAGAGGATGTCCTCCTCTGGCCCACCCCAACCTCCAAGTGCCTGTCGGAGAATTATGGAACCATCTTCCCCTTCATAATGTCAGTGCTTGTCCAGGAGCACAGCGGCCTTTTGGAGATGCCTGTGCTAGTGGTCTCTAGCACCAGTCTCTGGGTGAATATCCAGTGAATGGCAAGTTATTCCAGAATTGTGTGTGGTAAGATGATGTAGGATTCATCGGCAACAGATGCCATGCGGGCAGGGTAGGTAGTTAATGAGGTGAATTTGGTAAGATGCGGTGAGAAATCTTGCTAGGCCTCGTGGAGAGAAGCTCTCCAACAAACTCAATATAATTCAGACTTTGCCAAAAAAAAGTAAGATTTGGCCTCCACTCTTCAAAATATTCATATTCAAACTGAGGCTTTTGGAAGACGCTGAGGCCTTTGGGAAAAAAATCAATAAAATCTTTAAAATAAACAATACACAAACAATTCCATTGGAACATTTAATTATTACTGCAATTTTTCAAATGTTTATTTTTAAAATAAATTAAACATATTTAAAAATGTGCTATGAAGGAAACAGACAAGACAGCTGATGTTATTCTTTCCTTTCTTTCAATCATGTCACAAACATACAAATACATTCTTTTCACAGGAGATTCAAAATGGCCAGAATTGGCAGTTCGTCTGTCAGCATGAAGAGGATGAGTGCCAAGGGAACACCATCCAGGTCCAAGCGATATCTTATTGCATTTTATCCAATCATTTGAATCCTAATCATTAAATACAACACTGCAGTGTCTATTTTTCAGGCATTAACTGGTCTACCAAGTCCCAGTGCAGTGGGCAGGAAGCACATTTACCTTTCATCAGAGGCATCACATCTGAAATCTGCATTGTTCTTTGTCTATTCAAATCAGGGGCCTGTGTTTAGGCAGCAACCCATCACAGAAATCCAGGTGTTGGGGTTGCTGTGGCCTTCAAGGTAAATGCAATACATGGTCCATTAGAGCTGTCAATTAGGAATGAGGTGAGGCGAATAATGCTTTAGCAACAAAAACAGAAATTGCTGGAAAAGGTCACCAGGTCTGACAGCATCTTTGGAGAGGAATCAGAGTTAACATTTCGGGTCCACTCTGAGAAAGAGTCACTGGATCTCGCTACACAGATGTTGCCAGACCTGCTGAGCTTTTCCAGCAATTTCTGCTTTTGTTTCTGATTTCCAGCATCTGCAGTTCTTTCAGTTTTTAATGTATTGGCACTGTGGGTACAAACATTAGGGCAACATGTGTTGGATTAGTTCTTCATGTTCAGGTGTTGAGCAAGACCTGCTGCCAAGTTCCTCTTAGCCCCACAGAAAGCTTTCCACTCTTGATGGTTCCTTCAGATCTTTTTTTTCCCAGCCTTTGTCTCCCTTTTCTTTATGGCTCCACATTCAGCTCATAGGAAATTGAAGGGGAGGAAGCTGAGACCTTATAAAACAGTGCAAAGAGTGGAGAAAATTGTCTGAGTAACATTACAAGAAGGTCATGAGTTGATTGGTTATGAAGCAGCTGCTATTGGGGACTATGTTTCAACTTTTGGCAAAGATCTGTAGCTCAGGTTGTGGATGAGGTTGATGACTTGCTCGCTGAGCTGGCTTGTTTTTGTTCAGATGTTTTGTTACCATGGTAGGTGACATCATCAGTGGAGCCTCCGACGAAGCGTGTTATCCTACTCCGTTTGGAATTTATGCTGTTTAGTCCATTATGGTAAGTTGTGTCATTTCCGGTTTTGATCTGTATGGGATCAAACATTATTAAACCGACAACAACAGGAGGACATAGTATGCCCTAACACATTGGCCACACTACCGTACATCAAGAACATATTGGAACTGACAACAAGACTCCTAAGACCACTAGGAATCATGGTAGCACACAAACCCACTCTACGACAAACACTCACAAGGATTAAAGATCCCATTCCCACAACATGCAGAACCAATGTGGTTCACAAAATACCATGCAACGACTGCCACAAACATTACATCGGACAGACTGGAAGGAAACTAACATCAGAATACATGAACATCAGCTAGCAGCAAAATGGCACAATGAACTCTCCTTAATATCGGTATACTCAGGCAATGAAGGCCATCAGTTTAACTGGGACAAAGTAACCATAGTAACCCAAGCCAAACATAGACATGCACGGGAATTCCTAGATGCATGATTCTCCACCCATGCTTCAATCAACAAACGTATAGAATTGGACCCCATATATAAACCCATACAGATCAAAACCGGAAATGACGCTACTCACCATAACAGACCGGACAGTATAAATTCCAAGCGGAGTAGAATAACATCGCTTCATTGGAGGATTCACTGATGATGTCACCTAGCATGGTGACAAAACGTCTGAACAAGAACAAGCCAGCTTGATGAGCAAGTCAACAACTTCACTATGTTTCAACTCCAATGACTTTGAAAATGTAAATTTCAAAACTAGCACAGGGAGAAAGAAAACATAGGCACTGGAGTAGAAGATAATTTGTGAGTAAGGATGAAGAATTTCTACTGCATACTATTTTCCAGTTTTTAGTTAGTAACACAAGAGTAAGTTAATGTAACTGTTACAACATGGAGATAGATAGCTGAATGAAATCAGCCTTTCTACCTCTGTATTTGCAACACAGTAAAATTAAATCCTTCAAAGACCCTTAATAGTTACTCGAATGGTTCCTATTTAGATTTTTGAATAATTCACCCCAGACGTCGCAAATTATCAAATCCAAACACCAGTTTTGTATCATAAACAAAAGACTTAAGAATTTAAGAAAGACCCACGAAGGTGGTTTGCATTGTGGACAGTGCGGAGGGCTGTTCTACGTTACAAAGGGACATTGATAGGATGCAGAGCTGGGCTGAGAAGTGGCAGATGGAGTTGAGCCCTGAAAAGTGTGAGGTGATTCATTTTGGAAAGAAAATCTTGAAAGCAGAATACAGGGTTAACGGAAAGATTCTTGGCAGTGTGGAGGAGCAGAGGGATCTCGGGGTTCTTGTCCACAGTTCCCTGAAAGCAGCCACCCTGGTGGATAGAATTGTTAAGAAGGTGTATGGTGTGTTAGCTTTCATTAATAGAGGGATTGAGTTCAAGAGCCATGAAGTTATGCTCCAACCATACAAAAGCCTGGTTCGGCCATATCTGGAGTATTGTGTCCAGTTCTGGTCGCCTCATTACAGGAAAGATGTGGAAACGTTGGAAAAGGTGCAGAGGAGATTTACCAGGATGTTGCCTGGAATGGAGGGAAGGTCTTACGAGGAAAGGTTGAAAGAACTAGGGGCTTTCTCTTTAGAACGACGAAGGATGAGAAGTGACTTGATAGATGTGTACAAGTGATCAGAGGTATAGATAGAGTAGACAGCCGGAGACTTTTTCCTAGGGTGGAGGTAACTATTATGAGGGGGAATAGTTTTAAAGTGAGTGGAGGTAGATATAGGGGAGACGTCAGAGGTAGGTTCTTTACTCAGAGAGTGGTCGGGGCTTGGAATGCATTTCTGGAGAGGGTAGTGGAGTCGGCCTCATTAGGGGCTTTTAAGCGGCTATTAGATAGGCATATGGATTACAGTATAAGGTAGGGGTGGAGGTTAGATAGACCTTAGGTAAAAGTTCGGCACAACATTGTGGGCCGAAGGGCCTGTACTGTGCTGTACTGTTCTATGTTCTATGTTCTTAAATAGACAAAAAGCAGAGAAAAAATAAACAGCAAGTTATTCTAATTAATGATTATGCTTTAAATTAGAAGTGTTTGTCTGCAGCCCCTGTTCACATAATATTCAAACAGACAGACATGCACAATTCATCGATAAATAAAAGAAAATATCAAAACTGGCTCGATTACTTGAATGTTTTTCACGATATGTTGTTTCACAGGCACAGATGTAGACTTTTTGGTTGCTTTTCTGGAAATGTCAGTCAGGCCTTTCCCATGGTAGAAGAGTCTAAAACTAGAGGGCATAGGCTTAAGGTGAGAGGGGAGAGATACAAAAGGAACTAAAGGGGCAATTGTTTTCACACAGAGGGTGGTGAGCGTCTGGAATGGGCTTCCAGAGGTAGTGGTAGAGACAAGTACAATTTTGCCATTTAAGAAACATTTGGACAGCTACATGGATGGCAAAGGCAGGCAAATGGGAGCAGGAAAGCTGATGTTTCAGGTCTGGATCTCTGATGCTGCTTGGCCTTCTGTGTTCATCCAGCTCTACACCTTGTTATCTCAGATTCTCCAGCATCGGCAGTTCCTACTATCTCCACATTCGAACAGAGCCAGGTCTGAGTTCTTCCTTATGGACAGTATACTAATGCTGTTGGGGAGAGTTTAAGCTAACGAAGCAGAGTTATAGGAACCAGGAGAGAAGCTTGGAGAGTAATAGCAAGGTGCACAAAGTGCTGGCAGAAGCAAATAGAACTAGAATGGTGAAAAGCACAGTAATGAAATCTAAATCAGGGATATGCATGTGAATGCATGGGTACAATTAATAAGATTGGGAAGCAACAGACCCTGATTGCCTAAAGAGGTTATGATATTTTGGCAATAAGGAGACCTTGCTCAAGGAAGGGTGTTAAGTATTCTTTGGGACGAAGTGTTCATAAAATAGGAAAGGAATAAAAGGAGGAGAGGTAGCATTTTGGTTAAGGAAAGTGTTGCAGTACTGGAGAAAGAGGATATCGCAGAGGTTTCAAAGCCAGAATTGATTTAGCTAGAACCAAGGAATAAGTCATTGCTTGATGTAATGTATAAATCACCAACTTTTGGAAAGGATGTAGAGAAATGGCCTGCAAGAAATTAATAGATGTATAAATATCACAGTGCAGTTATAATGGGGAGCTTTAATTACCTAAATATTGAATGGAATCCTGGTAGAATAATGGATAATGAGGGATAAGTATTGCTAGGTTATGTTCAAGAGGATTTCCTACAGCAATATGTGTCCAGTCCAACAAGAAAGGAGGCACTGCTAGATCTAGCTCTTTGGAATGAAGTGGCAGTACAGATCAAATGTCAATGGGGGAATATTTAGGAGTCAGTGATTGTTGCATTGCAATAGTTAGGATGATGGTGAAAAATGACAATGAACAATGCACAGTAAGAATAGTCAACTGGCAGAGAGCAGATGTCAATCGTGCAAGGATGGAACTGGGCCAAAGAGACTAGAATCAAAGGTTGGTGGGAAAACCAGTAGCTGAACAGTAGGCTATATTCAAAGAGCAAATGGTTCACAGACAGTCAAGGTATATTCCCTCAAATATAAAGTAGAACAAAGAAATTCAGACCTTCCTGGATGACAAAAGAGATAGAAGTTAAGATAAAGAAGGAAAGGTATGGTTATGACAGGTGACACTTTGTAAATATAATTGAGAACCAAGTTGAATACAGAACGTTCAAAAGGGAGGTAAAAAAAGCAAATAAGAAAAGCAAAGATGGATTCTGAAAAAAAATGTTTGACAGGTAATGTAAATTAAAATCCCAAAAGTTTCTATAAGCACATCAATAATAAAAGAGTGGCAAAAGTAAGGAGAAGACCAATTAAGTACTTACAAATTGAGGCAAGAGGCATGGCTGAGGTTTTAAATGAAAACTTTGCCTTTGTTTTTATCTACAAGGCAAATGTTACTCAGGCCATGGTGACAGAGGAGGAAACTTGGTCCTGGAGGTGTTTAAAATTGATAAGCTATCAGAACTTAAAGTTGATAATGGATTGGGACTAGATGAGCTGCATTCAAAGATATTGAAAGAAGTGTCAGAGGAAATTGCAGGGGCATTGCATTAATCTTTCAATTGTCCCTGGGTTTAGAGATGGTGCCGGAGGATTGAAAAATTACAAAGATCATACCTTTGCCTGAAAAATGTGTAAAGATTGACCTGTAATTACTGGGCCTGTCAGTTTAACTTCGGTGACAGGGAAACTTTCAGAAACAGTTACTCAGGATATACTTAATAGTCACATTAAAAATGATGGGTTACCTCACAGGAGCCAGCAAGGGTTTGTTAAGGGAAAATCTTATCTAATTAATTTACAGAAGCTTTTTGCAAGAGATACCAAAGCGGGTTGATGAGGGGAAAGTTGTTGATTTGGTGTACATGGATATCCAAAAGATGTCTCATACTGTACCACACAGCAAACTTTTAAGGGAAGTGGTAGGTCATGGAAGAAAAGGGACAGTGGCAACATGGATACAAATTGGCTAAGTGATAGGGAACAGGGAGCAATGATTAATGGGTATTTTTTGGTTGGAGGAAGGTTTGTAACAGAGTTCCCATGGAATAGGTCTTGGGATCATTGCTTTCCCTGATATACATAAATTATCCATAATGAAAGGGACCATTTCAAAGTTTGTGGATGACACAAAGACTGGAGGAGTTGTAAATTTGAGGGAGACAATATAGAACTTCACTTAGACATTGACAATTTGGTAGAGTGGGTGGATACGTGATATTTGAAGTTCAATGTGGAAATGTGTTAAATGTACATTATTTCGAAGGAACATGGACAGACTGTATAAACTAAATGGTATTCTAAAACATGTTCAGGAGCAGAGAGACTGGGTTGTATATGTGCATTAGTTATTAAAGATGGCAGGATAGGTTGAATGAGCTGTTAATAAAACATCAAGTATTTTAAGCTTCATGAAGAGGGCCATAAAGTACATGGGCAGTTTATGCTGAATCTGCATAGAACACTGGTTAGCCCTCAGCTGGAGTATTGTGTACAGCTCTGTGCAGCAATGCTTAAAGACTGATGTGAATGCATTGGAAATAGTGCAGAAGAGGTTCACATAATGGTTTATGGATGAGAAACCATGGTTATGATGATAGATTGGAAAAATTGGGACTGTTATCCTTGAAGAGACAAAGGTTGAGGGGAGATTTCATAAAAGTTTTCAAAATCATGAGGGATCTGGACAGAGTAGATATGGAGAAACTGTTTCTGCTCTTAAAAGGATCCAGAACCAGTAGGCACAGTTTTAAAATGTTTTGTAAAATGAGCAAATGTGAGGCGAGATTTTCACACATTGAGTAGGGGTATGGAATGTACTGCTTAGAAATGTGGTGGAGGCAGGTTCAAATTGAACCATTCAAGGGGCCATTGGATGATGATTTGAAGAAGGACAAATTTCAGGCTCTTGGGGAAAGGTAGGTGCTTGGCCCTAAGTCAAACACTCAGAAGGCTGGTGCAGACATGATGAGACAAGTGGCTTTCCTCTGCAACATAACACTTCCATAGTTTTGTGAATTTTCATTCTGAGATTCATAGATTAATATTAATCAAAGTTATTAAAGGACATTGGAAAATTGCAAATTAGGTTGCAGCTCAGCCCGTCAGGTTGTGTTGCATAAAGCAACATTTGCACCACACAAATGCGAGGCATTGACCATCTGCAATGAAAGAGAACCAAACCATTTCTTCTTGATATTCAATGATGTTACCAACAATGAATCCCTCACTACCAGCATCCTGGGAGTTACCACTGACCAAAAACTCAACTGGACTACCCACATAAATACTGTAGTTACAGGAATCCTGTAGTGCATAGTTCACCTCCTAGCTCCTCAAAGCCTGTTCACTATCTCCAAGGCATAAGTCAGGAGTGTGACAGAATACTCCCCACTTGCCTAGATGAGTGCAGCTCCAACAACACTCAAGAAGCTTGACACCATCCAGGACAAAGAAGCCCGCTTGATTGGCACCACATCCACAAACATCCACTCCCTCCACCACTGACGCTCAGTAGCAGCAGTGTGTACTATCTACAAGATGCACTGCAGAAATTCACTAAAGATCCTCAGACAGCACTTTCCAAACCCACAACCTCTACCATCCAGTAGGACAAGGAACACCAACACCTGCATGTTTCCTTCCAAACCACTCACCATCCTGACTTGGAAATATATCGCCATTCTGTCAGTGTTACTGGGTCAAAGTTTTGGAATTCTCCCTACAGGCATTATGCAGCCAATAGCACATGGACTGCAGTGGTTCAGGAAGGCAGCTCACCAACATCTTCTCAAAAGCAATTAGGGATAGGCAGTAAATGCTGGCCTAGCCACCAATGCCCACTTCCTGTGAAAGAATAGGTAAAAACACTAGTATACAGAATTGAGATAACAAGGTGTGG